TCAGGGTTGACTCAGCCTTCCATCCTTCCGAGGTGGGTAAAATGAGGACCCAGATTGTTGGGGGCAATATGCTGACTCTCTGTAAACCGCTTAGAGAGGGCTGAAAGCCCTATGAAGCGGTATATAAGTCTACTGCTATTGCTATTGCTACATGTCAGGTAGCTTTTATTAACACAGAAGAGAACTTCAAGTGTTCCTAATGCCAAGAAGATCCCTCTTTCAAATCTAAAAGGACTTTTCAATGCAATTTATGAGATAGGATAGAAGCAGTTCTATCACATTTGTTTTGTCTTAATAGAAATAGTAATTATAAACTAGATCTGACCCAAACTTTTTAGTTCTCAGACAAAAATATGGAATAATTTACATACAAACCTACAGCCCTCTACCAATATATCTTTAACTTTATTGTGGGCACAATCATAATTTCCCCCCTAAATATTACCATCTAACGGGAGGTAAGAAGCATATCTTTACATGGTAATCTCTGCCTTCTGGAACAGAAGTTTAGTAGATCTTTACCCTCTTAAAACTTTTGTAAAGCCTTGAAGACCAGGCTTATCTTCCAGGAGGTAGGATAAGATTGGATAATTGCACATTAGAAGATAGACTTGGACCAGGTCTTCTTATTTTTAATGTTTTAATCTGTTTAGTTTTAAAGTTTTAGTATCATTTTATACACACACAAATACACACACACACAAGCTCCTTGACTAACTCCCTGTTCAATGTTGAAGTTCACTAGGTGTGCCATATACCACTTAATTTCATCCAGCAGGAAACCTTTAACTCCAACATTCATGCAAAAGGTCATAATTCAAAGTCTATTCACTTTCCTGTATATTTTCTCTAAACCCATAAATACACTATATATAGCTTGTAATACATACCTTGTCATCTAACTGTTTATACACTTTAGCCATTTCTTCTTCACACTTTCTCCTTTCAGCATCAGTGAAATTGCCAATCACTCCAATGGTAGGAGTTGGGGTATCATTAATAATTGCAATATCTTTATCCACAGCAAATACTTCCAAATTAGCCTTTTCCTTGTCAAACTGTTCCTCAAGAGGTACAGTCTCTCCTTTAAAATAGAAATTCCCAGTATATAATTACTTTCACGAAGAAAATGTTAAAAAGTGACTTCACTTTAGACAAGCATTTATTTAATGAACATTTTGTTGAAATTTCATTATTCATATTTATACAAAAAAATACTGCTTCTGGACTGAATACAGAATGTTCATATATTCAGATGAAAATTAAAACAATTTAGTATTCTGCCTGATCAACAAATATATAGAATATTTAGCTGCAACACTGTAGGAATTTTACTTACCAGATTTTTCGGCGTATAAGACACACATTTCTCCCAAAAAAAGGCTAAAAATCTGGCTGCATCTTATACACCGAATACAGCATTTTTTGACCCCCCAACCCCTACCCCCTTCCCCAAAATGGCCGTGGATACCCCTAGGGAGGCTTTCAGAGAGCTCCTGGGGGTGAGGAGGAGAGAAATGAGCAAATTTTTTGCCTTCCCCCCAGCCCCCAGCACCACTCTATAAGCTTCCATAAGGCTATGTATGCAATTTTTTTGACAAAAAGCGGGCCGTTTTTTGCCCCCTCCCCAGCACTCTGCAAGCCCCACCAAGGCTATTCATGCCTTTTTTTGGGGGGGGGGGGAAACAGGCCATTTTTGGGAGGCTTGCAGAGTGCAACACCCCACACCCCCATTGGAAAGCTTTTTAACTGATTGATGAGAATTACATTGATCAATGCTGTGCCAGCAGAAACAAAGTGTTAAGTGCTGCAGATTGTCAGCAATTTCCTTCTCCAGCCTATGGATAAATATACCTGGAAACATCTACCTACCTACCTACTCTCCCTACCTATCTACTGTATTTCTCCCCCCCCTCTATCTACCCATGTACCTACCTACTCTCTCTCCCTACCTATCTACTATATTTCTCTCTCTCTCTATTTCTCTCTCTATATCCCTCTACCTTCCTACTTACCTACACACACTCTCTCCCTATCTACCTACTGTATTTCTCTCTATTTTTCTCTCTCTATCCCTTTATCTACCTACCTAGCTACCTACCTAGCTACCTACCTATCTACCTACCTACTCTCTCTCTCCCTACCTACCTACTGTATTTCTCTCTCTTTCTCTCCCTCTCTATCCCTATATCTACCTACCTATTTTTTTTAATTTGCCTCTTCAAAACCTTGGTGCAGCTTATACTCCAAAATATGGTAATTTCAATGCTTTCAAGGCCTTCTGATAAGACCAAGACAACTGTAAAAGGTTGAAAATGCCTTGTAAATCATATTACATTATATGAGTTGTATTTAAGCAAAAGCCATGACAATGCCCTTTCAATTTAATAAAAAGTGATCTCAGAATAGAAGGCTGTAACTCACCATTGCGCCATCTACTGAGCTCATTTTCAAGCCATTGGATAGTGTTACGTAGTGTTTTGTTTTTCTCCTTTTCTTTTTCATATTTTTTCTTCCACTGTTCTGCAGTTAATTCTACGTTAACACACACTGTATTCTTGATAGTCTTGGCTCTATAAAGGCAGATTCAAGGTTAACTAAATATAGGATTGTTTAAACTGTTAGAAGATTTAAATGTTAATCTTCAACCCTAATCCCTTTTCTGAATAATTAAAACAATATGTACATAATTTTGTCACCTTTATGCAGCTTCACAGCATGGCACATTGTATCTAGTTCATCTTTTTTATGATTGTGAAAAGCTCGAGACAGCCATATAGCAGAAAATAACACTAGTTGCAAATAGAAGTGTGGCAAAATAAGCCAGGTGGGGAAAAATCAGTTTACATATAACTTTGTATCCCAAATATACATCAATTTGTATTTTTGTATCTCCAAAATACATCCATCAGAAATATATACCTAAATATCTAGTTCTCAATTTCTGATTATAATAATTGACAACGAACTTACAGAATCAAATACTAACAAGCTTTAAGAAAAACATTTTAGTGAAACAAATATTAGGCAAAAACACCTGTACATGTATACTTTATGTACACGACAACTCAAAACTTGCATCATTCAGTTTTTGTGGCAAAAGTCTGTTTCAATGTAATCATTCTGCTTTTACAATCTCACTCACCTCTGACCAAATAACAGTGTAGATTTTGTTTCAGATTCATTGTAAGATGATGGGGAACAGCAAATAACAATTGTGGTTCTACAATTGCCTCCTAAGGAATCTTGTAAAATTCTGGTCATTTTACTATCTCGATATGGAACATATGTCTGTAAATAAGAAAAAGATTTTTTTAAATTCTATTCTATCATAGATAGGTGAGAGTATTTTGTATTTTTTCAAATCAAGAATCATTTAACTTTATTTTCAACAGGAAATTCTTATATGTAATTTTGCATAGTGCTATAATTATGCATAATGTAATTGAGCTTATTAAAATTATTAAAATATTCAATACATACTAAAGCAATGAACGGAAACATGAAGATAACACATTTCCTAGCTTCATGTATTAAGCATTTGCAAATCACTGATATACTTACACTATTTTCAGCTAAAGCAGAAATGACATTTCCAAGAGCTGATAGAGATTTGTTGATATTTTTAGCCTCATCCAATACTGCACCTTCTGCTCCAGTTTTACTAACCTAAAATAATGTAAAACATTGTAAAGCTAATCAATCTGCATTTTATAAATTTTGCATTGTAGTTAGAAAAATGTAATACAGTATTTGCCACTATAACGTTTCTTTCCATATAACCTCATCCCAAATCTGTTCCTGATATTTTTTTCAAATTATAGAGAATCTGCCGAGTCTATAGATAAGTCATTTGCCCTTTTAAAAGGAAAGTCCTAGCAAGTGTTTAGAAGAGGAATACTGCAAGTGCATGTAGCCCATATTAAAATGCAGTGTTAAAATTATAAAATGAATCAACAAAGAATCTAGAAATGTATTATAAAAATTATAAAACAATGCAAAATGGAACAGCTATTTATAGGTAGACTTGGACTTATGACATCTCTTTTAACGACAGTCAGAAATTATGACGGTCTCAGAAAGAGTACTTTACAGCCCATAAAGCATTTCCAGTCATCTGAAAATGTTGCAGTTCCCTTGTCACATAACTGAGATCTAGTATTTGCCAATCTGTTCACACTTTATCAATTACCCTGCAATGATGTGATCGCCATTTGCAATCTTCTCCGCCAGCTTCCCCAAAAAGTTGCAAGCTGTTGCCATTGCCAAGAAGATTCCTTCTCATCTCTGGAGGTTGGTTGCCTCCTGAGGGGAGCCGAACTTCTTTGAGGGGTTGAGAAATGTGTATCTGAAACCCTGATGATTTTGCCTTTTCTCCTGCACACCATGAAAATTCTCTTCTCCACACAGAGAGAAGCTGAACTCCTTTGACAGGCAGTCCTTTTAGGCAGTCTCCAGAAATGGGAGCGTCAGCATGGTTAAAGTAAGAAGAGTGGGGTGATTGAGGAAGGCGGAGATGGTTCAGCACAAAAGAGTGCCCCTTCACTCAGGCTGAAAGTTCTGCTTGAATTTTGGCAGGGAGGATATTCAGCTTCTGAGTGGAACCTCCCAGGGTCTCCCTGGCCTTCCTAAAGCACTCCTTGTTCCTTACCTGGAACTTCATCCATTTAACAGCCCACACAATTGCTTACCAATTGGGAGTAGCAGGATTGCGGTTGTTGAGTAAAGTATGACATCACACTTAACAACTACTTTATTTAGCAACTGAGATTCTGATCTCAATTTGGTCATAAGTCGAGAACTTCCTGTATTTCTCCCAGGTTTCCCAGTAAATATTATAAATAATCCCATCATATAGCAGTTGTGTATCTAGATCGAGCAGCAATACAGAATCTGATATTATAACATTTAAGATCTGCTTATGTAGTACCCAATCAACATGAATTAGGCTTAATATAATCCATATAATCAGAAATAAAAACAATCATTATAAACATAGCCATACTCTTGACAACATTTTTCAGTTGTAGTGGTAGTCCTTCAAAGAGCCAAATAACATAATATATAATGGTTCTGCTGGTGTGTTGCATATTCTTATCACTACATAACTCTAAACAATCGTGTCTTGTAAGAAAAATAGATGGCCTTTTGTGAATTGCCTCTTATCCTCAAATTACCAAAACTCCCTTGCTCCAGAGAATGGGAGATAAAATACTGAATACCTTAGATGCACTTTTCTCTAATATATTCAAGGCAAAAGGAGCACGCCAATGTTGAAAGAATATGATAAATTATTTTCATGTTTTTTTAAAACAGTAAACTATTACCTTTTCACTACCTGCCAAGTCTACAAGATAAAGTTTTCCACTCAATTTCTGCTCTGTTTGAGTGTTTTCTTGCTTTACATTAATGAGAAAGATGCTATGACTTCGAGAGCTATGTTCATTCATATCTGTAAAAGAACAGTTTTAAGCTTTATAAATGTCCATTCTGTAAATAGCCTATACCTAATAACTGAATTATAAGTGTCTCATAAATCAAAACAGAATAAATCAATAAATTTAACAAAAACAGTATATCCCTTCATCAAAAAGAACTGTATCAAATCTACAAAACTGAATGTTTTATTTTTAAAGCCATATTTATTTATCATTGCAATAAGGAAGTATGTAAAAAAAAATCCAGATGCTCTTAAGTCAAGCTTGATTCATTGTGGCTATCTAGACAACACCACAGAAATGGCTTGTCCCCCTCTGACACCCCCCCAACGCCCCAAATAAAGAAGGATTAAACTGTAAGATTCTTAAACAGTCTTCCCCATCCTGGTGTCCTTCAATATGTTGGATTATACACGATAATATATAACATGTATATGTAAAAGAATCATACCCCTAAGGTCTCCCTATGAGCAGCTAACTGTTCCTAGTAGGAAATGGAATATCACTACTACTTAATTACTGAAAATGTTGCAGAGAATGACTTTTCCTTGAAGGAAAAGATTTCCATATGCATGAGAAAAAGAGCCAAAGTGGTCCTTTTTCTGTCACCAGTAACCAGGAGACAATGGATTGTGATATATCGCTAATATATTTTCATTCTCCATTTCATTCAGGAAAACCGATTATCCCTGACATAGAAGAGAAGCATGGGAAAGGGTAAAATTTAGGTCAACATTTAAAACAGTATTTACAGTATAAATACTATATGTATTTATAGTTTAAGTAGTTATCTGAATTACTAAAATCAGATATTTCTTTTAATTCAGAGAATTTTTAAAACAAATGTGCAATTGAAATCATATGTTTTTGTTTTAGGCTTGATGGATAAGCAGTTTGAGAAAAAACATGGGAATTTGTTTCTATATATGGTAAAAGCAAGGAGACTTTTGTAGGCATAGAAGGGTCCATTTTTCGACAACTGAAGCATGGGTGATTAAGTTAATGGATCTTTATGAGATGACGAAGTTAACAGAACAAATAAACTAAATCTTAAATCTTAACTATTCTGATTAAAGCAAATAACTTGTCTAGCTTTGTTTCTATGTGGAAACTAATCAGGGACTTTTACTTTAATCTGAAAGAAATGAAAATTTAATTTTGGGATTTCATGACATTTTTATTTTATTTTTTATTTTTTTCATTATTCCTTGCCCATTCCTCATCATTTTTTTCCTTTCCAGTTCCTTTTTTATATTGTATCTTTTGTAGAAAATTTAAAAGTATATATATATATATAATTTCGATAGTTACTCACTGAAAAAATGCTATTCTTAATTACAGTAACTGAATTTTTAAAAAATTAAACTAAAACAAATCACTTACTTGTAACTGCTACATGCCTGTTTGATTTTCCTTCATCTATAGTATCCATAACTTCATCTGGACTACATACAAACCGTTCAGTGCAGCCCTGTGAAAATATATTTTAACACAATCAATAATTTTAAAAAATACATTTAAAGAATGCAAGATACATACTCAAATCTTATACTCACCTTCACGTAAGGTACTCGGTTTTTGTCCTCATGAACAGAAAGATTGGTCTTTGAGACTAAAAAAATATAATAGTTGATATTTATTCATTAAATAGAGATGCCTAAGACTAAGCATATTCTGTTTTTAACTGTATAGAGGAGATACTTTTGATTCAAAAACAGACAATGAAAAGTCATTTCTTGTTACTACTAGGACATACTTACTTATAACTGGGGATATAAGCTATTCTCATTATAATAACTGTTGGTACAATCATAATTCTCCNTGGGGCCCGACTAGTAACCAATGCCAAATCCGGCGAAACAACTGGCCGCTGTGATACAATTGTATAATAATAATAATAACAATAATAATATAACCATACAATAAATTTAATAAATAAAATAAATGTTAAACAGTATTTGGAAAAAGACCCACATAAGAAATGTTTTTAGTTAATAGTTATACAGTTTGCACCTGACAACCAAAGTTGGGTTTATTGAAGAAACCCCTTCTATTTTCTTACCGATTTCTGATTCAATTCATCACTTAGTATTTCATACTCCTTTGCCTTGTCTTCAACCTCTTGTGACTTTTGATCATAGTTGACAGCAAGTTCCTCAAGGGCCTGGAGAACCTCTTTTACCTCTTCTTTAGAAGCATCATTTTCAGCCTGAAGGCGATTCAGTTCGGCTTGCATATTATCTTGGTCCCGTCTGGTGGATGCTAAAAGCTATATATATATATATATATATAAAGACCACTAGTAAATATTCTTTAATAGCTGTTTCTCAAGCAACAATGAACATATTACAGAAGCTTAGGGTAATTGATTGTTAGGGTAAAATATACATACACAATTTATTTTAAGGCTCTATAATGACACTGCTCACTGTTTTAAATCTTGCTGGGCTCTAATATATTTACAAACTTCCATTCAGTGATTTGTAACATAGATCCATAGAAATCAGTATTCTAATCAAAAATACAAAATCTCCTTTTGTGGAACATTGACACCATCAGTTATATTTCGCATACTTTAGTAACAAAAACCACTTTTTTACAATAAGCAATATTTTTTTTTTGCACTATTATGCTTTTTTTCGCCTGTTCGCCTGTTCACAGTATGTAAACAGTAGTAATAATCACCTCTTCCTGATCCAACATCTGTGTTTTTAGTTTTTCCACTAATTGGCTTTGTTGATTAATTTCTTCATCCTGAATAAAAAAGGAGAAAGATAATTATTCAACTATAACACTCATTAAATAAGCATTGTTTATTAATCCTATTTAATATCAAGAAAACAATCAGTATCCAAAAAGCACAGTCAGATATTGAGAGCCAAGGTGGCGCAGTGGTTAAATGCAGCACTGCAGGCTACTGCTAGATCAGCAGTTCAGCGGTTCA